TTAAAAATCAAAATTTCACAACCGTGTTTTTTGCGCTCATTGGATTGTTTGCGACCTCAGAAGCTCCTTAATGTGCAAATTTCAAGCTTTTGAGTACAGAATAGGGAAGAAATCGTCGGTTGAAAATCGGTCCCGCTCAAAAACGACTCAAAATGGACAGAAAATGTTGATTATTTCGGATCTGAAGAGTCCGCTGTGTTTTTAAGGGTCTCCTTGCATTCCCCGACTCCTTCCGGTGACAATGATGGAAAAATTGAGACATTTTGAGAGATTTTATATTTTTCGAAAAAATCAACCCTCCCTCCTTACGAAATTTTCGATCAAAAATAAAAATTTCACAACCGCGTTTTTTGAGCTCATTGGACTGTTTGCGACCTAAGAAGCTCCTTAATGTGCAAATTTCAAGTTTTTGAGTGCAGAATAGGGAAGAAATCGTCGGTTGAAAATCGGTCCCGTTCAAAACCGACTCAAAATGGACAGAAAATGTTGATTCTTTCGGATCTGAAGAGTCCAGTGTGTTTTCAAGTATCTCCTTGCATTCCTCGACTCTTTCCGGTAACAATGATGACATTTTTTTTAACATAATATAAGAATATATAATAAGAATAATAACACTACCTGACTCAACCAGAAGAACCGATAGTCTTCAAGACTAAATTGCTTTGAAATTGGATTCTTATTATTCAGCCCTTCAGCCGGGTTTGCAACATCCGATAAAACCTGAAGTGATGCCAATCTCCCTTTAGATCAGGTTGCGAATGAAAGTGCCGATAGTACATGAAGCGAGAAGTAATCTTAATCGATTTTGTTACTGTTCATTAGCGGGTATATTTAGAGTTGGCGTCAGTCGTTCATCAATTAAAGAAAAATTGGTTTGCAAGGTTGAAACGCACGATGACATAACAAACTAAGTGCACACGTTAGATACTTGCACTTGTGTTGAAAAACTGGAATAAATCCAATCAGGAAACTGACCATTTGCCTATAATTTCGCCCAAGAACCAACAATGCTTGACGATGGTTTTCGATGAATAATCCTGTTCTACAGCTTTATTTAAATAAGCATTCGTCATAGGTGAGCCTTGTTGGGTCACCTGAAGTGAATTTTTCTACAATACCTACATCCGCTCACTGAATGAATTCTGTTCGAGCTGCCGATATTGCACGTTCGTTTAGAAACAGTTTGTCGCATTGAACATTAGCCATGGTCCATTATACAAGCTGTTTGCACAGAAGATTTTGCAAACTGTTGCGTGACAAATCCATCCTCTGGATCTCTTAGTTGGTTTAGGCTTTGAAGGAAGCTGAGGGCTCATTTAAGTACCTACTTAATCGGCTTTCAATGAGGAACAGTGGAGAAAATGGCCTTTTGAAATAAGCGCAAGCCTGATGAATTAAACGTTGTTTATTGCTGAATAAACAGATAAAAACAATGATGCTTTGTTATTCGGTGGGGTCCCAGCGCTCAATAGAGCAGAGTCTTGTGTGTGCCATTGATAGGCAATGTAAACAATTGATCACTTCTCATCCAAAACAAACCACAAGGTTTTCCGCGTTAGAGATAAATGAACATGGAATTCAATCAGCCATTTATCGCATAAACCAACCGCGGTTTATGGATTAAAATCGCATTTTTGCCTGAAAAAGCCGACCCACCTTCAGATAATTCAAGATCCAATTCAGCCAGTTTCTCCCTGACGTCCTCCGGCAATTTCGAGACGTCAATGTTTATGTCAGTCATTTTTGCACGCAAACAGTGTCTGCCACGAACAACAACACTAAAAACACAACATTAACACAAAACGCACGCACTTTTCATCGTTTTTTTCTCGTTACAGTCCATAAATATAAACTTTAGCCTGTCTCGACCTGCAATAAATGTCAGATCAGCCAGGGGAGACAGCTGTCGAAAGGCAAAGCGCTGCCCGGCTGCCAAACTGCCTTGTCACACAGTCAGACAATTCACCGTCTACACGGCAACGAGACACTCGTCCAACAACAAGCCAGGGAAAACCGCACACACTGTCAACAGCGCGCCAATTTGTATCGTAGGGTAGGGGACTCGTATAGGCAACCACACTAACGTGGATTTTTAATGTATGTAATATTAAATTGTATGTTTTTTTTAATCCTATGCCGGCAGACAATGTTTTTTTAGGCAGTGGTAAAGAGAAATAAAATATCTTGATGAGCAGGCACTAATATGGGGATGGGTTGATCTCAGGCACCCCCAGGACGGTTATCCCATGCATCCGTACGATGTTACGATGGTACGAAAGTGTTTCTATTGGTTGCGGATCTGTCAATTCGTACGACGACGGACGCATTGACAGATGATACGATGGTACGAAAGTGTTTCTATTGGTTGGAGATCTGTCAATTCGTCCACGTCGTACGACGGCAGACGAATTGACAGATTTCCAACCAATAGAAACACTTTCGTACCATCGTATCATCTGTCAATGCGTCCGTCGTCGTGCGAATTGACAGATCCCCAACCAATAGAAACACTTTCGTACCATCATAACATCGTACAAATGGATTAATGGGAAACGAGCTTAAGGCTCGCATCACTCGGGTTTAGCCTGAAAGGAACACTCCCAAAGGGACTGCTGGTATTCTCACTAAATGGTGCATGCGCAGGTTTAAATGCTTGAACAGACAAAAATCGCCAATTAGTCTCCAGTTTTTTAGAACTCGAATTAAATAGTTAAACCAAATGGCAAAAAAACCCTCAGGTTCTCTAATGTGCTAAAACTGCCCGTTACCCGCACAGTTAACGCAAACAAAAATATTTTAAGAGGAATAAATCGTTTGTTTTTAAACGTTTTTTCATTCTGAAAAAGTTCTAAAATCTTGATAATTGCTGTGCGCTATTAATTTTTACCCGAGTAATTTTTTCTATGTGCATTTGAAGAATGTCGAAAAACCGCGCTTATTCACAGCTTAATTGCTGCTTAAAATCAAACGTTTAATCCCAGTTACAAAAATAGCAGCATTTTTAAACGAAAACGCTCAACTGATGAAGATTATCAAAATTAGAACAACCGCCACGATAACCTTCCATCTAACCTTTGAAGCAATTGGGTGATTTGCACTTGAAAAATCTGTAGTAATTTCGAGTTTTGTTAAATTACATTGTTATATTTAGTAACGTACTTCTACAGAAAATAGTTTACGGGAACATTAAAACGTTGAACAATTAAAGCGCTAAAATAGGGTAAATGTAATCGATGTGTTACCGGAAGCGTAAACTCACATTTAATCATAGTCGGAAATAGACTTTTATCTGAAACGCCTTCCTGCTGTGATCATAGCAAACTTTAATGCGGATTTGTTTAAAAACCCGAACCCTAATTCAGGCAAATTTAGGATCAACGTCCAAAAAACCTAATTATTCCCTGATTTATCGCAAGTTTTCTCAGTCTAGATTAAGGACAAAAGCAAACCGGTCCTTTGACCAATCGCCGAAAGGCTCCGCAACAAAATTTCGTAATAGACTAACGCAGAACCGTAAGGCATGGAGAACTTTGAAAAATCCACTTTAACAAACTGGCGCTCAAGGGGATTGTAAAACAGTTTAAATCAATCGGGGGCTTGTTGAACGTCTGCAGATGAATTGCCTGAAGACCCATTTGTGAGTGAAACTTTGAACCGGAAACTTCGAAGCGAATTTTTCAGTTGGCGGCAATATTTTGCCGAGTCCCGCTCTGCCCATCAAGGGCCCCACAAATCTAAACACAAGTGTTCCATACAGAATCTCATCTCTGGCTGGCATAAGTTTCGTAACACCACACTTTCCGTTTTAGTAGTACGAGTCCGCTAGTTCAGGCCCGGTAGTCTTCGGCACACGAGGCGAAATCCGATAACTTTAACGGAAATCATTAGAAATGTGCCCATAAAGAACTAACAACATTTTATTGAAAGCAAATAGTCGGGTTTTTCTCAATTCTCAGTGCCAAGAATAGTCTGGATATGCATTACTTGTGGTTCAGTTTGTGATTTTTGCGCTTCACAAATCGATTCAGGTAAGAAGTTTTCGGTGAATCGAAGACTTTAGATGTAAGTGTGCACTGTGATTTTCAATGTTTTAACAAC